TGATGGATTCTCAGTTGAATTTTGCCAGACCTTTAAAGAAGAACAATAATACCAACACTTCTTAAGCTTTTCCATGAAAGGGAAGGAACACTGTCCAACTCATTCTATGAAGCCAGCATTATACTCCTCCCAAAAACCGGACAAGGCACATTTTAAAAAGGAGAACTACAGACCAATCTCCTTAATGAAAAATCTATTGCAACAAAATCCTCAATAAAACAACAGCAAATCAAATCCAACAACATCTCAGAAAGATCATTCACCATGACCAAGTCAGCTTCATCCCAGGGATGCAGGGGATGTTTTAACATATGCAAATCAATAAATGTAATATAGCACATTATTAGAGGCAAGACAAAAACCACTGATCATCTTCAATAATGCAGAAAACCCTTTGATAAGATCCAACACCATTTCATGATAAAAGCTCTAGGAAACTAGGAATTAAGGAATTACCTCAACTCTATAAAGGCTATATATGACAAACCTAATAGCCAACATCATACTTAATGTGGAAAACTGAAACCATTTCCCCTAAAGTGAGAATGAGACAAGGGTATCCACTCTCTCCACCCTATTGGCAAAGTCCTGGAATTCCTAGCCAGAGCAGTAAGGCCAGAAGAAGAAATGAAAGAATATACAAAAGGTAAATAGTCAAACTATCCATATTCACAGATGACATGATCTTTTACCCTTAAAACCCAAAGCTCTACCCAAAACTCTAGGCACCATAAAACAGCTTCAGCAAAGTAGCAGTATACAAAATCAACTTACAGAAATCAGTATTCTTGTATACACCAACAATGAGCAGATTGAGAAAGAATATAGGAAAGCAATTCCATTTATAATAGCCTCAAAAAAATAAATACCTAGGAAAAACTTAACAAAGGATGTGAATGGACCTCTACAAGGAGAACTAAAAAACCGCTGAAGAAAGAGATTTAAGATGACTACAGAAGGTGTAAGATCTTCATGCTCATGGATTGCAGAATCAACATAGTAAAAATGCTATACTACCAAAAGCAATCTACATGTTCAATGCAATTTCCATCAAATCCCAATGACATTGTCATAGAGATTGAAAAATCTACCCTAAAGATTCATTTTAGAAACACAAAAGACTGTGAGTAGCCAAGACATACTGAGCAAAAAGAGCAACTCGGGAGTATCACAATACTTGACCTAAGCCATAGCAACAAAATCAGCATGGTACTGGAACAAAAACAGACATGAAGTCTCATGGAACCAGAATTAGAGGACCTGGACCTGGATATGAATCCACACAACTACGCTCAACTTATCCTTGACAAAGTTGCCAAAAACATATGATGGAGAAAAGACAAATTCTTCAACAAATGTTGCTGGAAAGTGGTTATCTTACCTGCAGAAAACTGAAACTTAGATCCTGTCACCCATGTACTAGCAGCAACTCAAATGGATTAAGAACCTTAATATCAGACCGGAAACTGAGCTAGTGCAGGAAAAAGCAGGTATACACTGGAAGCAGTAAGTGTAGGCAAGGACTTCCTCAGTAGAACTGAATGGCTCAGCAACTGAGAGAAAGGATTGACAAATCGAGACTACATAAATTAAAAAGCTTCTGCACAACAAAAGAAGTGGTCTCTAAACTGAAAGGTTACCCAGAGAATGGGAGAAAATCTTTGCTAGCTACACATCAGACAAGAGACTGATGACCAGAATATTCATGGAGCTCAAAAAACTAAAACTCCCCATAACTAAACAGAATTTTTTCAAAGGAGAGTCCAAATAGCTAAAAAAAAAAAAAAAATGCTCACCATACCTGGCCATAAAGGAAATGCAATCAAAACCACACTAAGATTCCACCTCACTCCTGCTAGAATAGCTGCCATCAAGAACACCACCAACAATGTTGTGAGGATGTGGGAAAAAGGAACCTCATACACTGCTGGTGAGAATGTTTACTGCTAGGACAACACTGTGTGAAAACATATGGAGGTTCTTTAAAATTAAAAATAGATTCTCCATACCTTACAATACCACTCCTAAAGATATACCTGAAGGAATGTGACTCTGGTTACCATGGGACCTGCACACCCATGTGTATTGGCAGCACTATTCACAATAAGCCAAGCTATGGAAACAGCCAAGATGTCCAGTATTGACAAATATATTAAGAAAATGTAGACTTATACACATGGAATTTTATTCAGTCACAGAAGAAGAATGAAATTTGTCATCCGCAGGTTAATGAATGGAACTGAGAACATCATCTTAAGCAAAGTTAGCCAGGTCAGAAGGCCAAAATTCACATCGTGTTCTCCCTCGTATGTGGATTACAGACCCAAACAAATGCCAGTAATATTATTGACATGGGTCACACACTAAGGGAGAATGTGCACTGGAGGAATAGGGAGATATAAGGAAACCTAAACCTTGAATATGGCTTATGTGCTACTGTATAGAAGCAAAATTTAGCAATCTTAAACTGCAGAGGCCACTATGGGAATGGACTAGGAAGTAGTGAATGGAACAACACAAGGAATCTCCCTGTACAACTACCTTATCTCAAACTAGCAAAAACGCCATGTTTTTCTTATCTTTTAAGTTTTTCCTTCTACAAAGGATGGAATAGGTTCTGCCTGAGGCAGTGGTGGTGGGGGGATGGCCCAAACAGATATACAATGTAAGTGAAAGGGATAAGAAGGAATGAGATCGTCTCAACGACCCACCCCCTGTTGGAGAACACGGTACCAGATGCCCCGTGTAGAAAGATAAGCAGGGCAGCAGGCTTCGGCTCGGGATATAGAATGTGAGGAATGTGAGAAGGTTGCGAAGGTGACGGGATGTACGTGCAAGATGTGCTCTGCCTGCTTGCTCAATGTTGATAACGAAATACGCGCGCAACTGCTGACTTTTACTCTGTGTTACAAAAATCATTGGTTAAAGTGCTGCGTGGCTTTTTGCTGTAACGGCAGTACTGGATCTATATAAGATTTCCCTAAAGAGGCTCAGGGTCGTGTTTTCCTAACTGGTCTTGTTAGGACCCGGAATCCTATTCCCCCGAGAGACAGAGAGCCAGGCGTGAATGCAATCAACAAAGCAGAGTTTATTACTGGCTAGCCAGGGTCGAGCTCCCACACGGACACGCAGGACCGGTTAGGAAAGCAAGACCCTGAGCCTCTTAGGGGAAATCTTATATAGACTGCAGTGGCGTGCATTTTTGTTATCAACATTAGACAAGCAGGCAGAGCACATCCTGCACGTACTTCACATCTTGCTGTACCTCACATCTTGTGTACTCACATCTTGCTCGTATCTCACATCTTGCATTCCTCACATTCTATATGCCCTAACTGAGCCTGCCGCATTGCTTATCTTATCTACATGGGATGTTTGGTACTGGTTTCTCCAACAAGGGGGTTGGGGCCCGCTGAGACCTCCATATTCCTTTCATTCCCCCTTTCTTATGGCCTAAATTGAGGAATCATCCTCAAGAGGATGAAGAGCCTGATATTGTTGGCGGAGGACCAGAAGTTGGATAGTATTAATTCGACTTTTGACAAAGTCATAAGTCGGTTTAGAATCCAGGGTCCTATGGTAACAAGCAGTAGGATGATTATTATTGGCCCTGCCAGTGCAGATAAAAGGGTAGCCAACCATGGGGACTGGTTAAACCAAGACTCGAACCAGCTTTCCCCTGCCTCTTTTTCTCGTTTTCTTTGTTCCAGGCTCTTTCGGAGTTTAGACATGGAGTCACGAACAACTCCGGTATGGTCAGCGTAAAAACAACATTCTTCCCTAGAGCAACACATAGTCCCCCTTTTTGGAGGAACAACAAGTCCAGACCTCGTCGGTTTTGAAGTACTACCTCAGACAGGGAAGTGAGGGATTTTCTAGGTGGCTAATGGAGGTTTCTATTCTCTCTATATCTTCGTCTATGGCTGCGCGCAGCGAAGACATCCCTTTATGTTGAGTAGCCAGGGAGGCTATGCCGGTCCCTGCCCAGCCACCCTAGGCTAAGTAGGGTAGCAATGGTTAGTGTAGAAATAGGCTCTCTCTTCTTTCTCTCACCTGTTCCTATATTCCAGTATGAATATAGACTTTCCTCCGAATGATAGAGGATGCGGGGCAGCACACACTATAACACAGAATTCTTTAGAGCTGTTAAACACCTTAGTTGATAGGCATGGGGTGAGTCCGGACCGCGAGCATAGCCACCACCCATTGTCCTTTGAATTACCCATTTAATAGCATTTCCCCAGGTAGAACTGCGTTAATAACAGTACATAAGTCCCGTCTGTTCTTTGGCACTTTTCCTAAGCAGGTTCCTTGGCCGTTTACCTGCTGTATGGTCAGACCTCTCTTACGGTCTCCCCAGGAACATTGAGTAGGGTTTTCCTCAGATGAGGTATCGTGAGTGGTGTTTAGCCCTATTGCCTCATAGAATGGGGGCCTCACATCATAACATAACCAACAGGAGTTAGTCATGTTAGGGTTGGTGTGTTTAACGTCAGGAAGGCAGCACCACTAGCTCCCAGAGGGGTCTTTAGATGCGGTCATGAGACTGGGCCTCACCAGGGAGGGCTGGTTTCTGATGGTCTTGGAGTTGTAACATTAGCCGAGCTATGGTTGAGGGAAGGTGGTGAGTTGTGGAAGGTTGGGGAGATGGCTTTACATTGGGCGGCCTAAGTACCTTATTGGGGCCTACTCTGTGGACGGTGGCCCTATGGGCTCAATTTTAATCTGACCACTATGGTCGAGCCAGCATGTCCACCATATTTATTTTAAAATACAAGTCCCCATACCTTACCTTGTATCCACCCAGGGGTGTCCTTCTTGCCAGTTTTCAGTGAAAGTGACCTTGTTCTATCTAGACCGTGGGCTGGCATTTATGGGTGGGTATTGGAATTCTGTGCCCCTTAATATCCCATTTACAAGGCAAATTTGACTAGGTCTGATTTTGATATCCCCCATTTTCCATTCACTATCATTGGATGTGACACATGCCCATGACCTACAGAAGGAGTATTGTATCCCCCACTTCCTGGGTTCTTTTTGTGGCCGGGGCAGGCATAAAACCATAACAATTCGGCTGACTTCGGGGCAGTAGATTGTAGCAGGATTGATTGTCTCTGAGCAGACTGAAGCTCGGCCACCACAGTTCCTATGGGGCGACCAGTGCGGTAGTCTCGTTGAGGGTGGTATTTGAGTCTCCCCATCGGTGAGCTTATCCAGGTTTGCATTTGGGCTGGTGAGCGTTGTTTCTGCGAGGCTCCGCTACTGGGCACTTGAGCAAGATCAGAGCGATCAGCACCCATCCGTGGCTGCTCCTGAGGCTCTGCATGTTCCCGGGGCCACAAAAAGCTTTAGCTTTAATGGGTTGTCTGGTGCCGCCTTACAGTCCCACTCCTTGACCCCTTCTTGTTTTTGATGATTTGGCTCGACGCACTGAGTGGTGGATCCAAAGGCGATGCCATAACCATTGACGGCGGTAGGGGTAGTAAACAGTACAAGCTTAAGGTCCTTTCCATCTAGGCTCTAGGGTGTTGGACTGATTGCCTTTTTAACCCAATACCAGTCACCCGGGACTATTTGCCATGTGCGGAGCCGGCGTCCCTCGTAACAGCGTGGTATGCTTGAATTAAGGGCCAAATCCGTTGTGGCACTTTAGCTTAAACGCTGCAACATGGTCAGGTTAATTGGGGCCAGATCACCTAGTATCTGGGCTTAAAGGTCCTCTGATGATGGGGTGGAGCCCCAATACAGGATCTCAAAGGGAGTGTAGCCCATGGACAGTAGGGGAGTTCCGGACTCGGAATGGCCAAGGGAAGGGCGTCACCCAATCACCGCCAGTTCTCCAGGGCCAATTTGGCTAAAGTTTCCTTTAGTGTCCTATTCATCCTTCTACTTGCCTGAGCTCTGGGGTTAATATGCACAAATGTAGCTTTCAATTTGGCCCCACCATAGTCTGGGCTAGGTCCCGCAGGACCCTTTCTAACAAAAAGCCGGAACCGTTATCTGCCCAATTTGCCTCTGCGGCACCCCAATTCTGCGTATGATTTCCTCTAGCAAAGCCTTTGCACTACCTGACTCGTCTCCTTCTTTGTAGGAAAAGCCTCCACCCAAGCCTTGAAAAGGTATCTGTATGAAATACCAGCAATATTTTGTAACCAAACTTTCCGGTTTTACCTCAGGAAAATCACTTCCCCAACTTCTCTCCGGAGCCCTCCCCCGTTCCGAGTCCTGTACTGGTGCCCCTCCTTCGTCCTGGTTTCATGATTGTGCAGCTGGCACAATCTTCACAATTTGGGGACTGCTATGGTTGTGTTCGAATCGGAGCTGGCAGATGTCAACAAGTCTAGTAATTTCTCGCCCCAAATGGTGGACTTATGTAAGTTAGCCAACAGGAATCGTCCGAGTTTTCAGGCAGAATTTAACTTGCCTTCCAAGTCGCTTTTCCATCCGTTTCCCCTTTCTCTAAAGTGGAGTGGGCTCTCATCAAGTGAAATCCTCTGTGGGAGTATTCTTGGTCGGGGAGGGGTAGCGGAGGGAGCTCTGGCCGGCACGTCTATCGCCGCAACCTGGAGGTTTCCCTGTCTCCATGGGAGGACCTCCCATGCTACTCTCTTTGCTTCTTGCATCTGCTCTGTTACCGACAGCTTCCGGCGTCTTGGCAGACTGGTGGCCATGGGACATACTACTGCCACTGCCTTCGGTTTTTCCACTGCCATTTAATAGACGCTGGACTTCGGCTATAGTTTCTTTAGATGTTTTCCTTCTGCTGTGCGGAATCCTCTTTTCGCGATAATGCCCCGTGGACATGGATGGTACCGAAAGGATAGCAGCTATCGGTGTAGATATTACTCGCTTTCCTTTTGCCCCTCTCCAGGGCCTCTGCAAGGGCAATTAATTCCGCTTTTTGGCTATGTTCCAGGTGGAGGGCGCTGCTCCATACCGTATTTCCTATCTTGGGGCTCCATCTTGGAAAAAACTGCTTCCATCCGTGTACCAGTTTAATTTGCAGCCGGACAGGGGGTATCCTTTAGGTCAGCCCGTACCTGTGTAACTTCGGAGAGGAATTCTTTGCAGTTATGGACAGGTGTCTGCAGTTCCGGGTTAGGCAACAAGGTGGCAGGGTTCAGGATTACGGGATCTGTGAATGTGATCCGAGGGGAATCCAACAAGAGCCCCTGGTAGTGGGTGAGCCTGGCATTCGTCATCCATTTCCCAGGGGGTTGTTTAAGGATTCCCTCCACCGGGTGAGGGGCCGTTACCCAGAGGGCCTGTCCAAAGGTTAATTTATCGGCTTCTCTCACCAGCACGGCAATGGCCGCTATGATGCGGAGGCAGGGGGGCCATCCTGCCGCTACTGCGTCTAATTTCTTGGAAAAGTATGCCACTGGTCTCTTCCAGGGACCTAGCTGTTGGGTCAAGACTCCTTTGGCTACCCCTTTTTCTCATCTACAAACAGAGTGAATGGTCTTGTAGGATCTGGCAAGGCTAAGGCAGGGGCCTGCAAAAGAGCGTCTTTTAGCTGATCAAAGGCCTGTTGTTCTCTCTCTCCCCAACTCCAATCTGGAGCTTCTTTGGTGGCCTCATATAGGGGTCTGGCTATTTCCGCAAATCCTGGAATCCAGAGTCTACAGAACCCCGCGGAGCCCAGGAATTCTCTCACCCCCCTAGTGGATGTCGGGGATGGGATAGCCAGAATAGTCTGTTTCATGGCATCAGTCAGCCATCTTGCCCCATCTGCAATCCGATAACCCAAATATGTCACTGACCTTTTACAGATGTGAGTTTTCTTGGCACTTGCCCGATACCCCAGCTCACCTAATTCCGTTAGCAGGTGTTCAGTAGCCTTGATGCACTCCTCTCGGGTTTCTGCCGCTAACAGTAAGTCATCAACATACTGTAATAGAGTGACTCCGCCGACTCAGGGCCTCATTAAACAGGGTGGGAGAGTTTTTAAATCCTTGCGGCAGTCTGGTCCAAGTGAGCTGTCCGGATTGGCCCCCATCTTCTTGCCATTCGAAAGCAAATAGCGGCTGACTAATTTCTGACAATGGAATGCTGAAGAAAGCATCTTTCAAATCAAGGGTTGTATACCATACTTGCGAGGGGGGTAGGTGGCTGAGCAAGGTATAGGGATTCGGAACGGTGGGATGAATGTCCTCCGTCCGCTCGTTTACCTTTCGTAGGTCTTGCACAGGCCTATAGTCCCCGCTTCCCGGCTTTCGGACGGGGAGCAGAGGAGTATTCCAGGCAGACTGACAAGGTCGCAGTACTCCTTCCTTTATTAGCCTGTGGATATGAGGGGCTATGCCTCTTCGGGCCTCCTCAGGCATAGGATACTGTTTCACCCGAATGGGGAGAGCAGAAGCCTTCAATTGTATAACTACGGGCGGGAGGTGTTTGGCGAGGCCGGTTCCCGCAGTCCGCCCAGGCCGTGGGAAATCTTTTTACCCAATGAGTCATGTCCCCTCCTGGTTCCTGTTGACTCTCAAACACGACGATGCTCGTCAGCCAATGATAGGGACAAGACATGAATCGGGCTCCCTTCTCGATCAGTCACAATTATTCCATCTGGTTCAAAATGGATATGGGCCCCTATTTTGGTGAGTAGGTCCCGTCCGAGCAGGGGAGCGGGGCTCTCAGGGACGACCAAGAAGGAGTGTGTGACCTGGTGTTTTCCTAAGTTCACCTTTCTTTTGGTAGTCCATGTACATAACTGCGTACCGGTGGCCCCCTGAACAACACTTGTTCGTGCCTTGTTCAAAGGTCCATGTGCCTTGTTTAAAACCGAATATTGGGCGCCGGTATCCACCATGAACCCCATCGGCTTCCCCTCCACATGCATTGTTACCCAGGACTCGGGAGGGGGTCTGAGCCCCGTCTCCTTCAGTCCTCTTCTCCGGCTAGAGGACTCTGGCCTGCTCTACTGCTCGTTCCCTTTCCCTGTTTTCCCCGGTCTCCTTCCAAACCCTCTTCTTCCCTTTAACTTAGGACATTCTCTCTTCCAATGCCCCGTTTCCTTACAGTAAAAACAGTGTTCCTTATCCGGGGTCCTGGCGTGGCCCCCTCCCTGGGTTGGTCCCGGACACCCGCTAGGAAAATACGAGCCATTTCTCTCTGTTGCTTTCGGTTTTCCTTAGCCTGGAACTCCCGGTCCTCCTTTCTCAATTTCTCCTGGGCTTCCCTGTCTTCCTTTCTCTGTCTTTCCTCCCTTTCTTCTGGAGTTTCCCTAGCGGTAAAGACCTTTTCTGCTACCTGTAGCATTTCCCTTATAGTCATCTCCCCTAAGTTTTCCTGTTTATTGAGTTTTCTCCTAATGTCTGGAGCTGCCTGATTAATGAATGAGAGTACCACAGCAGACCGGTGGAGGTCCGCCTCAGGGTCAAGGGGTGTACTGACGGTATGCCTCATAGAGGCGCTCTAAGAAACCGGCTGGGCTTTCGTTTTCCCTTTGAACGACTGCTTTTACTTTTGCAAAATTGGTGGGCCTTCTAGCGGCCGCTCGGAGACCGGCCATAAGAGTCTGGCGGTAGATCCGAAGACGCTCCCTACCTTCTGCGGTCCCGAAATCCCAATCAGGCGGCGTAGGGGAAAAGCCTCGTCTATGGCCGGTTGGAGAGTTGTGGGTCTCCCATTATCCCCAAGACGTTCTTCCTCGCTTCGTTGAGGATGCGCTCTCGTTCCTCCGTCGTAAAAAGAGTATTGAGCAGCTGATGACAGTCATCCCAAGTGGGACGGTGTGTATGCATGATGGACTCCAGGAGATCTATGAGACACTTGGGGTCTTCAGAAAAGGGCGGGTTCTGCGTCCTCCAGTTATATAGATCACTGGAGGAGAAGGGCCAGTACTGAAACTGTTGCCCTCCTCCGGTCCCCCTTGGCCCACCATCCGGACTGGAAGTGTAGGGACAGTTTCCTCCCCCTGTGTTGATGGGGGGCCCGTCTTCCCCCTCCCTTTCCCGGATCCCTCGGGGGCGAAGTCTTCGACCCATTCCTCCTCCTGCTGCCAGTCCTGTTGAGGAGGATGAGGAAATTTCCTCCTCCGGGGCACTGGCTTGGCCAGGGGGAGTCACGTATGGAGGCGGCCGATCTTCCTCTGCCCCTGCGAGGGATGGGTAAAGGGGGGAACTCTCTGGTAAGACCGGAGATGGTGAAGGAGATGCCCTAATTGAGGACCGGTCAAGGTGGGAAGAGGAAGTTTTTCCTC